AAAAAAAAAAAAAAAAAACTCTAAATTTGGAAAAATTTGAAAAACCCCAAAAACTGTTTTTCTAAAAGTCCTTCATCGCCTTGCAAGTGTGCATGCATGTACACACACACACACACACACACACACACACACACACGGATTTCCCCAAAGTTTTCATGTATCTAAAAAGAAGCCGCTGGTGCGAATCACAGAACCTGGTTGCTTGCTCCTTGTGGGGCGTTCTCCTCGGCCTGGGAAGGCACACAGGACGTCATTTCTAGATCTCCTACTTGAAGTAATCGCACAAGGACACTTGGGCAAACGTTAGTGGATGCACACTCAGACTGCGGATGCCAGGGCCTCACAGAACTTGAGGGCCTCAAAGACTCTTGTCCCTTAAGATAAGCTTTTCATTTTACAGATGAGTAAACTGAAGCCTGGAGAATGTGAGTTAACACAGAGCTCATTGGAAACAGATCAGAATTAAAATTTAAGTCAGCCCGGCTCACCACCCTGTGGTCATTCCTTTCTAACACACAAGAGGGGCCTGGAAGAGGGACTCTTGTTCCCTAAGGACTTGATCCATACCAGGAAGTAACCTTGATCTTTACGGGGCATGGTTTAGGTATTTGTCCAGTTGTGCAGGCATGAGATGTGACAGATAGTCTCCCCTAGGAGTCCATTGGAGAGAGTTCTAGGTGTCCACGTGAAGCCTGCAGCTTCGCTCAGGATGTGGACAGCAAAGGGTAAGGGGACACTGACGGGGAAGGGGAGCAGAACCCAGAGATCCCCTATACCCCCTCTTGCAAGCTGGAGGAGCTGATGGGACGTTTCCTATTGGTCCAGCAAACACTGGGAACTGGGAGCGCTGGGGTTCAACCCGAGGTTAAGGCTACAGAGGGACCTTGCTGTGTGTAACAGAAGGGTCTTCACCTCCCGGAAAGGGTTTGAGTTATTCTCTAGGAACCCCCTGTGCCGGAGGGCGGCCCCTGCCTGGTGACAGAGAAGAAAGTCAAGCTCTGTGTGATTCTCCACCCCTCACTCTTCAAGTTATAGAGTGCAGACACAAAGAGCATCCGCACAGTCTCTCCAGACAGCGAAGCAAGACCAGCGAGGGAGTTGGGGGCGTGGGCCCAGCCCTGGGCTCCCTCCCCGGCCCAAGCGGGTCGGGCCGCTAAGTCCTGCGTGGAGGCTGAGGGGACGTCTGTGCCAGGGGGTCATCTTCACACCCAGCTGGGAGTCACTTTAGTTAAACCCGGTTACACCCGGTTCTGAGCGGTCAGAATGGATTGGTCCCTGCGTCTCCGGAGACCGGAGAGGCAGGAGGGTGAAGACTTTAAAATGCATGATCAGAGTGAGGGGTCAGAGACACCCTAAAAAAACTCCACTCGGAGTTTCTGGGAGTGCATCCCGCATCCGGTTCTGCGCAGGGCTGGGTTTGAATCCTGGCCGCAGTCCTCTTTCCAGGCACGCACCCACCCGGCGGCTCGGGCCACCCCCGCTGCTCAGCTGCCACTGACTAGCAGCACCTCAGCCCGCGGCTCCCCAGCCTGGGGGATCGAGTCTCCCCTGAGGTGGGCAGCAAAATGGTGGCGGGGCCGTTTGTCCTTGGCGTCCGCTTGCCCAGCTCTCCAGTCTCCCCCGTTCCACCCGCCTCGTCCTGGGACCCTCCCGGGTGGGCGCTCCAGGGACCCACTCCTTTGGTGTCCCTCCCGGGACCGCGCAGGGCACAGGAGCAGGGGCGGGAGGCCGTGGGGTGCGGGCAGCCCTCGTCCAGTAGAGGGAGGGGCGGCGCGAGTGGGGGCGCGGCCGGGAGGGCCCGGC